ATCTATCTATCTATCTATCTATCTATCTATCTATCTATCTATCTATCATCTATCTATCTAATCTATTCATCTATTCCCAGCATTCAGTGGTACAGGTTAAACATTCCCATTCAAAAAGAGACAAATAGAAGCATAGGAAGGAAAGATCAGACCAAAACTCAGCCTGATAAACACTGAGTTTTGCCTCTTGATGTCCATCATCTGGGCTCCACTTTTAAATTTGTGCCTATAGTATTCATGGTTTCTCTTTTAGGCCAACTCCCTGCAGTGCCTTCTGCTTTTTTTTTTTTTTTTTTTTTTTTTTTTTTTGTGGATATTGGATGTTTCTGGTTTCTCTAATATCTCTGGGTTTCCATTGCAAATTAGCCCACTCACCAAGCTATACCGTAGAGCTTTCAATGGGTAGGGTTTTGCTAATGCCTAGTGCAGAATCCAATGTTTCTTCTTAATGGTGCTATTCTCTTAACACTTGGAGCTACTTTATCTGAACCTGTGCTGACCTCCACTTCCACTGGATTCAGGTTCCTTTCTTTTCTTGGTGGTTTGAATAAGAATGGTCCCCATAGGCTCAGAAGCTTGAGTGTGGTCCTCAGTTAGTGGAACTGTTTGGGAAGGATTAGGAGGTGTGGTCTTGTTGGGGGAGGTGTGGACTTGCTGGAAGAGGTATGTTTTGCAGTGGCCTTTGAGGTTTCAAAAGTCCATGCCAGGTCCCATCTTTCTCTGCCTGCCTACAGATCAGATGTAAGCGCTCAACTCCATGATGCCAGGATGATCATGGACTAACCCTCGGAAACTATAATCAAGCCTGCAATTAAATGCCTTCTTTTATGAGTGTTGCCTTGGTCATGGTCTCTTCACGGTAATAAAAACAGAGACTCAGATAATTGCCAAACTATATACTTCTGTCCGAAGCTTTAACTGGGTTCATATTCCTTTTCTTCTCCAGACTTCTTAATTTCCGTATCTGTCTGCTTTCTCGCTGCAAATGTGGGCAAATGCAGTAAGCAATAGACAGGCCACAGCTTCAGCGTTACAATGTTGTCGCATTTCTTTCACCAAACATTCGCCATTGTCACCTTGATTGGGTTTAGAATTCTTGTGGGGGAGTTTTCTGTAAACTTGACACAGGCTAGAGTTACGTAAAAGGAGGGGACTCAACTGAGAAAATGCCTCCATAAGATCTGGCTCGAGGGCATTTTCTGAATTAGTTATTTATAGGGGCGAGCCCAGCCCACTGGGAGTGGTACCATCATTGGGCTGGTGGTCCTGAGATCTATAAAAGCAGACTGAGTGAACTATGGGAGCAAGCCTGTAAGCAGCACTCCTCTATGGCTTCTGCATCAGCTCCTGCTTCCAGGTTCCTGCCTCACTGCTTTTGATGATGAACTCTGGTGTGGAATTGTGAGAGAAATAAATGCTTTCCTCCCCAAGTTGCTTTGATCATGGTGTTTCATCACAGCAGTATTAACCCTAAGACAATTTACTAGGAGACACACTTTTGGGTGTGTCTTTAAGAGATTTCCAGAAGAGCTTACCTGAAGAGGCAAAATTCATCCTGAATGTTTTTGGCATCATATCATAACCTGGGGACCCAAACAGTAAAAAAAGGAGAAAGCCAAAGGATTGCCAGCATTTGCTGTTCTTTGCTTCTGGTTCTACACAAATAGGAGGTAGTAACCCCTCAGGCTCCTGGTGTCATAGCCATAGCTGTTCCTGCTGCCATCGATGGACTGCGCCTTCAGAACATGAGTCAGAGTCCTTCATCCTTTGCTGCTTCTCATGCATTTGGTCATAACAATGAGAAAATACCTGATAGATCATTTATTTCATTTAACCTTTACACTTTATTGGAGACTTAGATAAATGAGTCAGGGTCACATAGTAGTAAATTCTAGAACTATGATTTGACGTTATATCCTATAAACACAAGATAAATTGCTGATAGATTGCACAATAGCCTAAAAGTTCACTATTGAACATCCAAATGTAGTTGTATTGTAATAGTAGCATTTGTTTTATAAGCTACATTCTATACTATCTATTGATAAAAAAAACTGTACTTCTTGAATCGTCTTATTTTCAGACACTGATCTCACTGAGTTTTAGATATATGCCTTTTTGTAAGCAATGTAATCTCCTTCTAGGATGTAGGTTCTAGCATTTTCTCATTAGAATCAAATGGTAATTTTGCTCAATGTTTTGAGGTCCCTCCATACTGTTTATATGGAAATACCCGATTTCCCGTTCCCTTGGGCAGTGCACATGAGCTTCATTTTTTTCTCGCATTATGTCATCCTCTGTGCTTTTCTTCTTTCAAATAGTGACCACGCTAGTGCACGTGGACTGCTAGCACGTGTTCGGGGTCTCGTCTTCCAGGGTCCATTGCCTGAGAGAAGCGACCGAGGGAGGAAGGTGTACTTCGGCTCACACTTTCAGAGGCTATGGCAGGGAAGTGGTGGGGTGTGCGTGCGTGCGTGCGTGCGTGTTGGGGGGGCAGCAGCTCTTCACATCTTTGCAGCTCAGAAAGATAGACAAGGCTATCCTTTAAAGGTCTGCCTCAGCCTTTGTCCTAAAAGCTCCCTAACCCTAAAACAGTGCCACCAGCTGGGAACCAAGTATTCACACACTTGACCCTGTTGGGGTCATTTGGCGTTCAAAACATAACAAACACCTATTGATTTGTGATATTAAGTATCTTGTGTACTTATTGGACATTTGTATGTCTTATTTGAAGAACTGCTATTTAAAGCCTTTGCCCATTTTTAAGTTGTTTTTGTTGCAGAGTTGTAAAAATTCTTTATATACCCTGTTGTATATACTCAGCCTTTTTGTTTTAATGTGAAAGCAGTCATAGAAAATATGTATTTCTTT